ATAGGCTTAGGAAATAAAATCAAAAATTGTAACTACTACAAATAGTCTGGCTAATTGGCTATGCCAAAGCCATTATATAATAAAAAAAAGAAATATCAAATGGTTCGAAATTTGTGAGAGAAAATAAATAAAACTATAAATTATTAGTGTTGATCAATTATTATTTATTTACTGCTATTGTATACCGATGACAAAAGTTTAGATGTACATCCGTGTACATACATGTATGTATTCATAATGTGAATTAATCAGTCTTTTGAAAGAACTGCTTCGAAGCACATTGCTGCTGCTCAGACTGCTTAATAATTTTACTGTAAGAGAAAAAGTGCCTGAAATGGTTTTCATCACTTTTGTTTTGTAGACAGAAGGTTTGTAAGGCATCGAAGGAGGATCTTGCTTCCTAAACTGACACCTCTGCCAAAGGTTCTGATGTATAGTACTCATCTTCAATAGCAACATCTTCATCAACTTAAACAAAGTCAGAAAAGCTCACACCACTGATGTCAACTAATGGTTCTATTGCTGGTTCTTCATCATATAAGTATTGGAAGATTTTCCTGATCTTCTTTTAAGAAAACGAATTTTTTTAAGCAGTTGAGAATTGTTAGGGGTGTGACACCTCTCCATGCGTTGTCAATCAGCAAATAGCTGTCAGAACCGTAATATTTGCAGTTAGATGCCTGTCGAGAGATTCTAGAACGAGTTTAACAATTTCTTTACGATAGAACCTCTTAAAATTATGGATGATCCCTTGGTCCAATGGTTGCAATTTGGAAGTTGTATTTGGCGGAAAGAAGTAGAGTTCCACGTTGGACAATGTAGAAGGACTGTTTTGGACAGTGCAATTGTCTAAAAACGATATCACTAAAGAAAGTAGGGAAAGAACGCCCGCGCTAGTTTGTATTGATCAGGTTAGGTTATATCGTGTTGGATTTCTTATACCTAGGACTTCCACAACTAAAACGTTTGGATAATAGTGAGCCCTTATCGCACATCAAAGTGCTATAGGGGGAAAGGGATCGTCTGGAGCATTAGAGCGCGGTGGAGTGATTCCTGTTTTAAACACGAATTAATAAACCTCGCTCCAATGAATTGTTACACCCGAATGTCATTCTAAGGGGTGTGCAAGTCTCTATGACTGGGTTTAATCAAAATTGCTTTCTTGCTTGCTGTTTATAAGTGAAATTCTTTCTATTTGAGCAAATACTCGATCAGGGGAAGGAAAGAATGACCGAATATATAATAGAATATTACAATATGTATTAGAACTCAAATTATGAGATGGCTACGTCATGGTATTTAGCGTATGGCACAAATTAAAGAAAATGTTATAAATTACAAACTTTACTCCAAAATGAAAATCATATTAAAACATGATTTTATTAGCTTTATTGCTTTACATAATGCTTAAGCATTATTGCTTTAGGTGTTGCTTTATATGTATAATAACATCAACCAACTTTGCATAACTCTAAGACTAACTGGTCCCAATTTAGAGAAAAACTAGACAACCTGATCTCACTAAAACTGTCCTTGAAAAATAAACTCCAAAGTTCAACTAAAATCAGCTGTAGATAACCTAACAAAAAGCATATAAACTGCTGCGACTACCAGCTACAAACCATCTCCAAACAGAAATAATGTGTATCCCACAATTAAACAAAAAATTTCAGAAAAACGACAATTACGTAAAAATTTACAACAGTCAAGAACGACAGAAAATAAGAAAAAGCTTAAACAAGCAACAAAGGAATTAAATGAATTAATACATGAAGAAGAAAACCATGGAATTCAAGAATATTTAGAAAATTTAACACCGTCTGAAGCTACAGATTACTCACTCTGGAAAGCCACGAAAAATCTCAAACGGTCACAACAGTATAACCCACCAATCAAAGATGAGGCAAACACATGGGCTAGGAACGACAACGAAAAAGCTGATCTTTTTGGCAAGCACCTTCAAAAAGTATTCACGCCATGCCTTCTACAGTATCTACAGAGAAAGAAACAGAACTAACCAGATTCCTAACAGCACCATTTCAAATGGATCTGCCCCACACGAAATTTACAGTCAACCAAGTAAAACAAACAATAAATGAAGTCAACATCAAAAAAAGCCCCTGTATTTGGCCAAATCTCTGGCAAGATTCTAGAAGAAGTCTCGAATAAGTGCATAAAACTAATAACCTTTACATTTAATGCAATCCTGCGCCTAAACTACTTCCCTAGTTCATGGAAAGTGATACAAATCATAATGATCCTTAAGCTCGGAAAAAGACCGGAAAATGCATCTTCATACCGGCCTATAAGCCTTTTGCCTTTGATTAGCAAAGTATTTGAAAAAATGTACGTAAAAAGGTTAAAAACGATAATAAACAAACATAAAATCATTCCAGAACATCAATTCGGTTTCAAAGACAAACTCGGAATCATAGAACAAGTGCATAGGCTAGTCAACCAAATAAACAAGGATTTTAACGCCAAAATATACTGTTATGCTGCTTTCCGTGACATATCTCAGGCTTTTGACAAGGTATGGCACATAGGACTACAAATAAAATTAAAGAAGCTCCTACCTTATTCTCACTCCCAGCTCTTAAAATCCTACATAGAAAATAGATACTTCCTGGTGAAGCACGGTACCGAGCATAGTAAGATATATCCTATTCACTCAGGCATCCCACAAGGCAGCGTTCTCGGTCCAATTCTATATCTTTTGTACACAGCGGACATTCCAACATCTAGTACAACTATTGTTGCAACGTATGCAGATGACACTGCTATCCTGGCATCCCACACAGATCCATCAACAGCATCAAGAAATCTTCAATCAAACCAAAATAGAATTCAGCAATGGATGAAAGTATGACTAGAGAAACCCACCCTGTATATATTGATAATTGTCTAATTCCTCAATCCGAGGACGCTAAATATCTTGACATGCACTTGGATCGCCGTCTAACTTTGAAAAAACATATTTTTAATAAACAAAACAGATTGGACTTAAATTAAGAAATATGTATTGGGTCATTGGACGCAATTCAAAACTATCTTTGGATAACAAAATTTTACTCTACAAGTCCATCCTCAAGCTCATATGGACTTATGGGATTCAGCTATAGGGCACTGCTAGCGTCTCCAATACAAACATCTTACAGAGATTTCACAGCAAGGTGCTGCGTGCCATAGTCAATGCGCCATACTATATATCCAACGAGGTGATTCAACACGACATCCCCCTAGAATCCGTGAAAGAATCCATACAACGTTTTAGTGCTAAATACTGTGAACGAGTGCTAGTGCATCCTAATGCATTTGCTCGACAACTAAATGTGCGGAACGTCTTTGAAGTGCGTAGACTAAAAAGACAATTGCCGTCCGACTTGTCCAACTGAACATAAGTGTATTCAAACTATTAAAATTTTAATTCTTACTCACTGGAGTAGCTCTCTACATGTCTGCATTTTTTACCATACCAAATGCTTAATGTCCAATGGGCCGATTGTTGTAATCAATGGAGTTAATAAAAGAAAAGGTGTTACTTTAGGGAACTCATTCCATGTTCCTCGACATGCCCGAATATGACATTGAAAAGTAATCATCGGTGATTCAATCGCGTCGGATCGCCTATCCAACCTACTAAAGGAATATTTATTCACTCACGACCAACACCAAAACTCCCTCAGCGGAGTAGCTCCCTAATAAGAGACTACAGACACGTCGACTTAATTGTTACAAACATTTTCTATCTAATAATATTCCAGTTAGGTAACCTAGATGAATATATTGATATCGATAGAGATATCACGGTTCTCCAAGATTTCATAAATCAAGCGATTGATACTTTAGTCCCCAAAAGAGTTATAAATCCTACCAGGCCCCGCTTTCACAACATATGATAAATAAGATCAAACACAACAGACAAATTCTACGTCAATTCCAACAAACTCGTGACCCCCACATGAAAACAGAATATAACCATGTCTCGGCCCAGATTAGGCTGAAGATGGAGGTGCAGAGCATACAAGCAAACAAAAGCAATGTTCTTTATGTTATTTATTTTTACTTGTATCCTAAATTGATTTACAGCTTTTATTGATTTCACTTTTATGTTATAGAAGTTTCTATAACATTCTGGCGTTATTTGTATAATTTCGCTTATATTAGTGATCTATGTTCCTTCTTTATTCTTTAGATTGGAAATGACGGTAGTAACAATCTTATGCTTCTCTACCAACGATGTAATATACTATGTAATATATTACATATAATAAATAGTATAATTATATCGATGTTCTCTAGTATGCCTAAAGACCTGACTGTCACTTCCGCGAGAAACCACATCACCATTTCGAAATATTTAAGAATATTTGTAAGATACTTATACGGGATGTATAAGAATATAAGATAAGTATGTAGTACCTCCATAGTTCGTCAGGTGTAAGATTATTTTTATTTATAGCCCTAATCAAGTTTAATTGATAAACTTTTTATTTTAATCAGTTAGGTATTTAATATTACATTTTTAGCTCTTATCGGAATAATACTTTCTATTTTTTATCTGATAGAATTAATAGGAAATATAATATCAAACTTATCAAATAACTGTAGACTTTCTTTATTTATATAGGATATTCGAATAATTAAACTGATAAAATAGGATATAAAAATAAGAATGATCTTAAAAATATTATGTAAAATGAAAAAGGAAAGAAACTAGCTTGGAAATTATGCTTCCGAGAGTCGGAAACTTAGGCATTTTAGAACGAACCAAAAGAATTTATTTGATTAATAACATTAATAGTTGTCTTTTTTTATACAATATAAATAGTATGCGCTCTATTTCTGTCTAACCGAAAAATAATTAAAACTCAGGTAAAAATAATGATTTGCAAAGTGATGGCACTGATTGCTGTACAGCTTTTCTCTGTCATTGTCGTTTACACCATGCTGAAAGGAGATAGCGCCTACATCGATTGACACACATAACGGACTCCTCCGATTATAAGACCTCGCCAAATCGTCCACAGCAACACGCGGTACGCTACACAAATCTCTCGTTTTTTTTTATTAACAAAAAGAAAATCAACCCCAAATATGACGGATAAGGTAGAAAAACCCAGGTGAGTCTTTATACATAATAATTTACATTAGAAGAACAAACCATTTCAATAATCGTTATAATTTCATTGTCTTGGGCGGCAGCGTTTAGCGGCATAGAAAATGGCGGGAGAGAGAATTTACATTGTTTTAGTGCTTTTATATAGTTGTAAGTGTGTAACAAACTCGTCAGAGAAATATGACTGTAGGAATGTTTGGTTGATGTCTAGGAATAATAGATTTTTATTAAAACAATGACAATTTTTTTAATATTAGTATGTTTCCATTGTTTCACTAATTATTAACATGTGGTTTTCCAAAGCAACTTTCTACTATTTAATTATTGAGCGTAGCTCATTAATTAATTGAGTTTTAATTTACTTTTAATAGTTAATGCTCCTTTCAACATCTATCATTTCTTAATTTAAAGAGAAAATCAAAAATATTTTTGAAAAAAGCCGGTTTGAAATAACTGGTAGTTACGTCATTTCTTTATTTGTATTGACTCACAAGCCGGAATAGATGGCAGGTAAGCAATTAATTAATATTTAATGTATCGTGTATTTAGGTTTCCTACAACTTGCGGTTACTCAGTCTTTTTAGTCAATAAATTCTGTATGTAAGAAAGCATTGTTGTATGTTTTGGCCAGCGGCGTATCACTATAATTTAAAGGGATATAAATTGAAGTTTTATACAAAGTGCAAAAATTATAAGATATATGATTATAAATATTCTACTGGGTCTTTTTGAAGTTAGTTCTTAATATTTTTTAAGTTCATAAGTTGATGGTTCTCGTCTGGTATAATATTCATGCCTAAAAAGTGTTTTTTTTTAACTGAAAATGAGTTTATGTTGAGAGATAGTTATAAACTCCAATTATTTATGCAAGACATCCACAAAAATTACAAAATTCTTCAATACGGTTCTATAAACATTTACATTGCTTCTTTTCTTCTTATTTCCTTGATAGGCTTTGCATGTTTTATTTTTGGATGCTTTTTATGGTTATGGCTTGAGGTTATTAATCAGACCATATTGGCCTTACTGTACTTCTTCAGTCGTTTTGGATATTTGTTTCCTGCTACTTTTACTAGTCTGATCACCCATTCAAGTTGACACAACATATATAATTTTATGTTTTTCAATTAAGACTCAATTATGTTTTTCCACCTTATGTTTATCCAGTTTAGTTCCAGTGGAACTTTCTTACTTCAGGAATATCTGCTTTTTATCTACCCAAAACTTTATATTTTCTTCTTTTTGTGGTGCTGATCCGATCATCATGGCAATTTTGACTTTGTTACAGTTGCTTGGAAACTTCTTGGAAATTTGCTTGCAGTGATTGTCATATTGAAACAAGTTATGAGGTTATGGTGCCAATAAATAGTCAATAGCAAGTCTTCTTGTGTCTCCCTTGCCAAACACTTTCTCTTCAATAACCAAATGAAGTAACCCACTTGTATCATTATTTGCCATAATTATGTCCAAAGTACTCATAAGTTTCGTTTTGTTTTTATTGTCATGCACTTTATTTTCCATTGTATTCAATTATTCAGTATTCAACTATTATGTTGTTATAGATGCCTCCAAACATCCTTTCTGTGTAGCCAATTGATCATTTCTTTCACATGTAACAGGTTGATGGTTAAATTTATAATTACTAATATATAATAGACACATTTGCAATGTTTTTGTGTTATAATGATTTCAAAAAGTTTATATTTCATTTACTTACTTGCACACGGAATGAAGTGAATCTTAAAGAGACTTTTAATTTTTCACACTACAAAAAATTTTTAGGTAGATATTAGTTATTTACTGGAACACGAATTAAAATGTCTTTTAGATGTGTTGATAAATTAGAATGTGTTAGGAAATGTTTTCAGGCACTCAAGTTGCTTGGTGGAAGAGTAATAATTAGATATATAAGGAGGAAACAGATGAAATTCTGAAATAAAAATTTCTTAGTATTACTTTTATATCATACGCAAATTGTCTTGAAAATCTGTTCTCTAAAATTAATTTAAAAAATTAATTTAAAATAGTGAATAATATTGTCTCACTTGATCAACCCGCCAATCGCGTCGCCTGCTGGACATAGGACTCCCTCGGTGCGTTCCAGTGTTTTCTACACTGGGCTGCTTGTAGCCAGTTTCCCGCTACATGTTTTATATCAGCGGTCCATCTAGTCGGTGGTCGTCCTCGGCTTCTTTTATAGTTTATGGGCCTCCATTTCATAATATGTCTTGTCCACTGTCCATCTTGTGTTCTGGCTAAGTGCCCTGCCTAGTTCCACTTAAGTGTTGTGGTTCTTTCGATGGCATCTTGAACTCCTGATCTTTGCCTGATTTGTTGGTTTGTTATGTGGTCTCGAAAACTCACATTCAGCATTACAAGTTCCATGGCTCGAGTAACTTGCATGGCTTGAGTTTATTTGCAGATTTTTGTGTGAGTGTTAAAGTCTCTGCTCCATAAGTTTGTACAGGCAAAACACATTGGTTGTAAACCTTTAGCTTGAGACACATGGGAATTGAACTTTTTAGAATATGGCTTATTTGCCAAATGCTGCCCATGTCAGGCCTATTTTCCTCTGTATTTCATGTGTTTGATTGTCTCTGCTTATTTTGATCTTGTGTCCCAGATATTTGTAAGTGTCTGTTTGTTGTATGGTTTCATTGTCAATAGTTATATTTCCACTCATTACAAGATTTGTCATAAGTTTAGTTTTCTCAAAGTTTATCTTTAATCCTGCTTTTTCAGACAGACTTTTAAGCGAATGTATCATAGAAACTGTATCCTGTAAGTTATTTGTGATTAATACAACATCATCTGCAAACCTTAGATGATTTATATACTTTATCATAGCCAGTTTATACTAAAGTTATGCAGGTATAGTGCATTTTCTTCTAGTCCCTTGTACTTCCCAACTTGGGAACTGTTCATCTTTTTGTTTTAAAGATATTTCTGTGTGATTTTGGAAATTCTCAGAAGATTCTTAGATATCAGAAATGACAAAATCTTGTCCCACAACCTGTAGCCTCATTCTGATTTTTCCAGTGCTCCTGATCTTGTATTGCCTAAATCCTGTTTGTTGTAACTTAATCATCCATGCACCATGTTGGATGTCTAGCACTCCAATATGTGTTATTATATGTCACAGTTAACTTTATCCATGCACCATGTTGGATGTCTAGCACTCCAATATGTGTTATTATATGTCACAGTTAACGTTAGTCATTCATGTCTGTGTCCTGCTCACATGAATAAATTCTAGTTTCACTATAAACAGTTTTGTTGAGATTGGATCACCTTGCATTCCATCTTAATTATGTATTAGTGTGAAGTTTCACATGTGCTGATGCACTTGTATATGTTTATATATTCTTAATTAATGTTAAGATCCACTTTACAATTTGTTAGTTCAGCTAATATTTTGTCTTGGTCTACAGAGTCAACTACTATAGCCACTATTTTTTTTTCTATCATCAGTTTTATAACTGGTTAGTGGTTTTTTGTACCATAAATTAATCTTTATATCATTATGAAAACATAATTTGTACATGTAGTAGAAAAGAATTATTGGACAGTGGTTTTTAAGATTTGTGAGGTCTCCTTCTTCTTATGCCTAATTACCTTGATGATTTTCCTTCCTATTGCCATTTTCTACTGGAAGCTGTTTTTTTTCATTTCTCATACCATTTAACTTTCTGAGGATTTATGGTATAGCCTAATCTGCAATTTTTGTTACATTAATATGTTCTATATATCAATGTAGAAATTTTCTATTCTGGAGTATTTTTCTTTAGGCAATCTTAATGAGTTATTGAAAATTAAGAATGAGTATGGTAGGGGTAGTCTAGGTATGCCAAAATGAGAGAGCATTAAAATGGTTAGATAAGTCATGCCTTTAAAGGGGAAATGTAATTGGGGATGCTGACTCTGCATATGGATAATAAGACAAAAAGAATGATTATGATTATAATGGGGATTTTTATGCTGTATTATTTCCAAAATTGTTTGTGTCTTATATGTATTTACATATATCTTTCATTATTTCTTTTGATATTTCTTTGTTTATTCATCTATGTTAGGATATGCATTAAACAATCTTCCTATAATATCCCTTCTTGTTCCAATTTGTTGGTTTTATTTCTGTGTGAAAGAGGCTCTAAGTGATATTATTTTTGGTTAAATATTTACCAGATTCTACCTCATTATACATTTTGTTGTCTGGGCTGCAAAATATTTGTCAATCTTAATTTTTAAGTAAACAGACAATTTTCATGCACTAAAAAATTATCTAGACATGTTTATTCATACACTTTCATTAGGTATGTAAATATAAAACGAACAACATATTTTTTTATGGTTTTTACTTACGCAAATTTTTTATCTTAAATTTTTAGCGCTAAAATTTTGTTATTTAACATTTTGGAATCTGGTGGTAATGAACACACATAAGAATCGTCCGCATTATCGTGTTTTAAAGTTCTTTATACTTCTCAATTATTTTAAACATTTCTTGTTGGAGTAAACCACAAATTATACAATTTATGTAATGTTTTAAGAGCGTGGGCGCAAAATTTCGGGCCAATGCTTTTTAAATGCATTCATTTTTCTCAAATCCTGTGTGAGGTTTTGAAGGCATAATTGTGGACCAAGGTTTCATGTTTGTTTCTTTATTTCATCATTTCCAATGCTTCAGTTAAAATGTACACATTTGCTTTCTAACAGATTATTTTCCGATGGTTATCAAATAAATTTTATTTATTTATTTTACTTTATTATGCCTTCTTTTAACTCAGCTTTTTTTATTATTCAGTCACACAAAACGTTAATTTTGGCATATCGTCACAAATATACTAAATTGATAAAGAAAAATACAAATATAAATCACGACATACCTGGGCCACATATTTATCGATCAATATTATAATGTATTGAGAAAATATCTCAAAATTAATAATCCTGTACATGAATATAGTTTTGAATCAAAACAACCTGTATTATAATTTTCAAGTT